CAGTTCCCGAAGAAAAAGGACGGTGCCAGCGGGCAGAGGGGGGCCGGGGGAGGGAGAGCTAGCAGAAGAAAAGAACTCCCTCGGCGGAGCAGCGCGCAGCGTCTTTCGGCGATGTTCTTCGGTTTGCGTGGAACAAACGCTCCGGGGCCTCCTTTCCTCTTTTTTACCTTAATTTACTCAGACTTTGCTGAAAGACGGTCGGCAAATAACTCGGTTCGCGTTTTAAGGATTCATGAACCACCGAGTCGCCTCTCTAGTCGCGACCTTTTGTTCGGGGAAATGGCTGACGGTGGAAGAGTGCTTCTCGATTCCCTTCGTTCGGTTTTTGTCCCGCGGCCCGGCGACCTTGTCCTCGAAAATGATCATCCTTCTCGATCGGCGAACCGGCTCCCGCTTTTTGCCCCGTCATTTACTGTTAAGCTTTCGCCGCGAAACCGATTGGTCGTAATCCGAAAAACTCGTAGCAGTGGCCAACGGTCCGTCCGTACGTATATATATTTAGCTGCACCGGCGACCGTCGGACGGCCGAGGAATGCGAAGACAATCCCGCGCTTAAACCCTGGAAAGTATTCCCCGATATGCAATGAAAATTTTAGGCGTGACCGAACGGGAACGCGACGCCGGCAACGCCGAGACTGCTAAATTATTCGCAAGACCGTGGTCTGATCGATCCGCGGGAATTTCTGTTTCAGGGATCAGCGAGGCGAGCGTGCAGCTACAGCAGCCGAAACTACCCTCCGCGGTTCACGTGGGAAGCGAGGTTGAACTTCGATGTCACGTCGATGGCTCTGGAGACATGGAATACGAGTGGTTCAAGTTGGTTACATAGCATAACTCGTTGCTATTTACATGCGCCCCAAATAGCCTCCCCTCCCCGTCGATCGTCCCGAGTAATCCTCGACTCGGAAGAGTATCGCGCCCCAACCAGACGCGAACTAACTTTAACCCCCGTGTCGCGTAACTGACACCCGTCGTTCGCGGAACTGCCTTTCAGTTATCAGCCACCGTTTTCCAGCGTCCTCCTCTCGTCCCGCGTTTTCAAGCTTTCCGGCCCCTCTCGCGTCGAAATCACCGGTTGACGTCGATACGCGAGAAATTTCGTCGCGCTCCCCTCCCGATCCCCTTCGCCGTGCGCCGGCTTTCTATCCGGTGTCGAAATGGAACGCGAGAGAATTGACGGGAGCGGCTGTTCGCAGAAACCGCAGGCTGGTGCGCAGCGATCGGATCGAGGTGAGGAAGAAGAAGCTGCATATTCATCGCGCGGTTCCCGAGGACAGCGGCATGTACAGCTGCCTGGCGAAGAACAAGGCCGGATCGTCGCCGAAGATGGAGAGCTATCCGCTGACCGTGTCGGGCAACGAGACCGCCACGATAAAGGTCGTGCCGAGGAACCTAATCGCGAAACGCGGCGAGCCGGCCGTCCTCCACTGCGTATTCGAGGACGCTGACTCCGTTCAGTGGTTCTTTAAGGACATCGGCCCGCTGGAAACCGACGACGAGAGAACGGTTCTCGACAACGGCACTTTGGTGATACGCGTCGCCGAGGACAGGGATCAAGGATTCTATTCCTGCCACGGGGATAGGGGGGACACCACCATCACCTACACGGTCGAACTTCAAATAGCTTGTAAGCATCGTTCTACAAATATATATAGGGTGTTCCGCGTGACTTCAGATCTATAAAAGAACCGCTGTCCTCGCGGCAGACTGGTCGATCATTCGTTCGATGCCATTTAACACATTCAGTGCCGGCCCCGTAATAATGGGGATTTCTGGATGTGACGAATATCCAATTAAAATGTATGTTTTGAATATATTATTTCTCACTGAGCAGATACAAGCGAATGAAGCCGTTTGGGCTAAGTGGTCGATACGTTGCCGGCGTTCAGGCTTTGACCCTTTGCACTCCAGAGGCGTCTCTAAGTCACCAAATGATTTGACACAGCAAAACTGTAAATTTTGATGTTTAATATTAAACTTCGTATAATGCATCAATGTACGAAATATTGAAAATAGTTCTCTTCCTGAATGCATGTGAGATTTCTTAATTCAATCTAAGAAAATGTCATCTGTATCTTATTTGAAAATATTGAATGTTTCCGGTGAAAAACTGGAGTGCAAAGGATTAAATGTATCTTAAGTCGCCGGCGCTCGATGTGTTAATTTTCTCTGGTAGAACATTTCTGTGTCCGTGTTGGAAATCGGCTTATCGCATGGAGCCGTGTATTTATACGTTATCGTTAAGCTCGTAGCACATAAACGAGTTTCCTCGAGTTATTTAGAGTACCGCGATCGGAGAGTAAGCAGGGTTACACCCGGCTTTTCGCGGGCGCATTCGGTTCTCGTTAGAAGCGACCCTAGACGAACCGAACATTGTATTTCGTAGATTTAATGAACCTCTCTGCGGCCTCGTTCGAGCCCCTACTGCCGAACCAAGTGGCGGTGGTGGCGGTGGATCAGGAACTCCAGGTCAGTTGCCTGGAACCCGCCGGGCTGCCGGCTCCCAAAGTCTACTGGAAAGACCCCAGCGGACACATTATAAGCGATTCCGGGGCTGTGCGTGTTCAGGATAACACGCTTATCGTCGCGAACGCTCGGAAGGACGAGGACGAGGGCTCTTACACTTGCGTCGCCGAAAACATGGCCGGTGAGACCGAGATATCCGCTCAAGTGGTCGTTTCCAGTAAGTTTCCGCGCGTCGAAGGTGAACTCTAATTGAAACCGAACGAGTTTGATCGGCGCACGTCCAATTAACGCGCGCACGCGATTTTAAATTTCAGCTGCCCCGACGCTGATCAGCTCCCCGGAGAGTCAGAGCGTGATGGAGGGAGATTCCGTGACGTTGACGTGCTCCTACGCGGGAATGGATCCGCCCGTGACCCACGTACGCTGGCTGAAGAACGGCGAGCCGTTGAAGGAAAGCGGAGGGCCGACGAGACACCGGGTCACCGATCACCACGGCAACGTGACCCTGCACTTCAAGAGCGCCGACCTGTCGGACAAGGGCACCTACATGTGCGAGGTATTCACGAAGGGCTTCCCGTCGATATTTTCGGAGCGGGCCACTCTGACGGTGGAGGAGAAGCTCAAGTTCTCGCCGCAACCGGTGGACAAACGGCTGGAGCTCGGCTCGACCGCGAAGGTCCCGTGCAAGTCCCAGGGCGCGACCAATCCGATGGTGAAGTGGATCAAGGAGGGGGTGGGCGAGAAATTCCCGGAACACGTGCAGGATATCAACGGCACGCTCCATTTCAACGGTGTCCTCGAGAAGGACAAGGGGCGGTACACTTGCATAGCCAGCAACGCCCAGGGATCGATCAACCACACGATCAACATCGACGTAGTCAGTAAGTGCGATACCTTTGAAATTAGACCCGGTCGCGTGCGTCGGCGAGTTTCGCGATCGGACCATTAATGGGCCTGTCGATTGACGCAGTCGCGCCGAAATTCACGATCCAACCGCAAAACCCGACGGAGGCAACGGAGGGCTACTCGGTGATGTTGCACTGCGCGGCGGAAGGCGACCCGAAGCCGACCATCCAGTGGGACAAAGACTCCCGCATGAACAACCTGAACAACTCCCGGTTCGAAGTGCTGGGGAACGGAAGTTTATACATAAAGGAGGTGTTCCTGGGCGACGAGGGGAAGTACGGGTGCACGGCGGGCAACAGCGGGGGATTGAAGCGAGAGGAGGTTCAGCTGAACGTGAAAGGTTTGCCTCGTACTTTGCAACCGAGTCTGTCGGCGCTCGTAGATTCGTCGCACAGAGTAATCCGATTGTTTTGCAGCCAACGACACGCCGAGGTACGACATGGACCTAGAAGTGAGCGACGACGGATCGATGATGACGAGGACGGTGACGATCACGCTGAGCGCGGCCGCGGCCTACATGATCCTCGTCGTGGGCTTGATGCTGTACTGCAGGTACAGGCGTCGCCGTAGGAAGCAGCAGTACCTTCAGGAACAGGCGGAAGGTATCTATTGCTTCGGGCGAGTCTCTTCGAACGAGAACGTCCACCGCGGCTGGCGCGTTGAGTAAATCGGTCGTTTGCATTCGCGCAGAAAAACTGGAGAACGGAGAGGTGCAGGAGGAGCAGACCGAGCTGAAGGAGACCGGGAACAGCAAGATGAACTCGACGCACAAGAAGAAGGAGAACCGCGACTCCCACAACAAGAGCGACGGCGCGGACACCGCTCAGAGCCAGAGCAGCAACCAGTCGAAGAAGTCCAAGTCGAACTACGACAAGATCGCTGTGTCGCGGAGCAACCTGAAGGACCTGAAGCCGCTCGGCCGCGGCGAGTTCGGCGAGATCTACGCCACCAAGTACCAAGTGGAAGGCGACAAGGAGTCCCTGGTGATGGTCAAGAGCCTGACGAACACGAAGGACGAGACGTCCCTGCAGGAGTTCAAGCGGCAGTTGGATCTGCTGCACAAGCTGAGCCACGAGAACGTGGTGAAGCTGATCGGCCTGTGCCGCGAGGAGGAGCCGGACTACATGATCCTCGAGTACACCGACTGGGGGGACTTGAAGCAGTTCTTGATCGCGTCGAGGAAGGACAATAACTCCAGCCCGACCCACGAGACGAAGGCACCACGAGCACCGCAACTGTCCGTCGCGCAGATCATCTCCCTGTCGAACCAGGCGGCGAATGGGCTGAAACATCTCGCGGACACTCGTCTGGTTCACAAGGACATAGCCGCCCGTAACTGCCTGATCGCCAGCAACCTGACGATCAAGATCTCGATGCCGTGCATGACCAAAGAGCCCTATCAGCAGGAGTACACCAAGCACCGGAACCAAGTGATCCCGTTAAGATGGCTGCCGTACGAAGTCGTCTACGAGGACGAGTACTCGACCAAGAGCGACGTATACTCGTTCGCCTGCCTCGTCTGGGAGATGTTCCATCAGGGCGAGCTGCCGTTCAACAAGATGAACGACGAGTCCGTGCTGTCCGCTCTCAAGACGCAGACCCTCGCGTGGAAGCCGCACAAAGCGGCGCCGCCCGCCCTGCAGGAGCTGCAGGCCCAATGCTGGGCGAACGACCCGCGGGAGAGGCCGACCTTCGACGAGGTTGTCTCGAAAATAGGTGAAATTGTCGTCGACAGTTGTCTCTAGATCGCTCGAGACGATGCCACGAGGCTCTAAATCGGAGATACCGGGGCGGGGGTAATGATTGCGCTCGTGCTCGACAACGGTAGACTGAATGACTGGAGAAGAAGGAGAAGGTGGAGGAGGAGGAGGAGGAGGAAAGTCGAAGGATCTCAACGTTGCTCGATCTAGCTAGAGTTTAGTTACACCGAGCCAGCTTCCCGGCGATCGGCCGCCCAGCAATGATTACCCGCGCCGCGGTATTCTGTCGCGTCCATTAGGTCGTTAAGGATATAATTTATTTGTAACACAAGGATCCGCTCCAATGACTGCTAACGTCGGATTAACGTTAAGGATAACCGTACGGCCCCGTACACGCTACAATATTATACGACTAAACGCAATATTTAGTACTCAGTATCAGTGTAACGATATAGGTAATATCGACCACCATCGCACATCGAATATACTCGTAAGTTACGCTATATTGTCGTCACGGCAGAGATCGCAAGCTACAATGTGAACGCATCGTATTAAGAAAGTATCACGACCATATCAACAATTGAACGAACGACGATTTTTATATCCGCCTAATTCGCGTCTGACACTCGTTGTATTCCGTTAAGGTTTAAGGCTTAAGGATTATTTATAGCTAACACCTGTGTCTAACACGTACATTTATATATATATGATATACGCGCCGTCGCGCGGAGCCACTCCAGCCGCGTGCGCCGCGAACACTCGTCTCGCCGTGTACGCGTCCGCGGCGGCTCCGCGCGCTCACGCGCGCGAGATGGGCCATCGAGTTGAAATTGTTCGCCCGATCGCGCGGATATTGGCCGATATTGGAGGCTGCCATTCGTACGGTTGGTCGAACGGTTTTCGTTGCACGGGTCGCGGGAGTTGGGCGAGGAGGGAACGAAAGGGGAACACTGAAAGGAAGCGAGAAGCTCGAAATCGTTCGATATCGGCTCGAAGAGGGTAGAAAGAGAGAGAGAGAGAGGGAAACGGCCTTGTACATACGGAGGGTACATAACTGTAAGTTCGTTAAGTAGAATCGCGAGATTCCGGTTTGATTTTGATCGACGACGCACTTCCGACGGATCGCGACGTTATCGTTCATCGCTGGCTCTCGGTCACGACGAAGCTGCTCGCGTCGAGCAACGCTGCCTATTTTCGCATTCAAAGAGGAATATAGTTTATAAGAGACCGTCGCGTCGAGGTCCCGGTCTCCTCGCTGGATCGCGGGATGCCGCGACCGCCCGCGCGACGGGAATCAGCACAACGAAATCGTTTCATTCGATTACGTTCCCGTACGATCGGATTATTTCGCTTTGCACACGCGCACGACCCCGCCGCCCCGCACAATCGACATCGGTCGCTTTCAGTTCGCGAGTTCAGGACGGGAGGAGGCTTCGGCTCGTCGCGAGACGTTTTGATTTCGAAGGGGTCGTGCCAGGCCCCCGTCGGTTTCCGAATTTTCGTCGTTTCGAGCTCGAGGCGCGTGGGACAGGAATGGGTGCGAAAGATGATCGCGGACAGGCTCTCGGCCGCACGGGAGTAGAGAGGACAGGACGACAGGCGCTCGGTACAGGTATAAAACGTATTCCGCATCCGATATATTATTAAACGATTACTGATCCATAGCTCGTGGAAGGGGAACGCGTACACGTTTCGGAGCTTACCAAGACGAAATTCGATGATGGTCGAGACGAACGCGATTCCAGGGGAACTTCGATAGTCTGGGTCAACTGGGTGTTTTCTTCCGGGGAAATGGTGTAATCGGACGACACGCTGGCTCGATCGCGATGCAAAATATCGATCAGTATTCCAAGTATTCTCAGCCGAGCTCTGCACACGTATACGCATATAAAATATATAATGTATCATATACGCATCTAGATGTACGAGACACTAAGGTAAACACTGCCAGTGAGCATCTCTGTAACGTTAAAGGTTTCATAATCATAGCGAATACGACCATTCCCCTAATTTAATGCACCCTCGTCGCACCGAAGGCCATCCACGGGAGACCTCGATGCTGCTTTCCCGGTCGCATCGATCCCCCCGGGAGCCGTCGTATATCACGATTTTGCAAGGGACGTCGAATCTTGTCGTCGATCGCTCGGGGTTCAACGTTCCCGTCGCAAGCGATCTCAACGAAATTACATCTCGTTCCGTTCACCGACCGACTGATCCTACCGACCGAAGATACGAAATGCCAATCGAAAACGATAGAACTCAGAACCGCGGAGTCCAATGTACCGCAATCTATCGGAATGTAACGATCGAAAGAGAAGAGGAAGAAGAAGAAGAAGAAGAAGAAAGGGGATCGCGAATGGTCGATGGCAATGGATTCGCGAAGCCACCTAGCAAACGGTCCAATCTGGTTGTTCCAGATGCTTCCTAAATGTTCGCAGTATATGCCAAGAAAATATTCTTGTAACATAAAAAAATACGTTAGGAACATACCTTGCAGCAACTTCGCTCGCGCTTGGATAAATCGTCGAGGCCGCGATCGATCGGGCCCCGACGAGAACCAAACCGTGCTCATATCATTCGCCGATCGAATTTCCCGGAGGCCGCGATCGTCGACCCGTCGTCTTGTCTGGCGTCGACCGGGGAAAACGCGCATTTCCCGCCGCTCATTCGCAATCGTCGCTCGTCTGGAAAAGTTTACACTCGAGTTTATCGCGCGCGCTACTCTCCCGTGCTCGTGTATTCACCGTCGTCGTTTCGCGTAATTGGATGGCAAGACGAGGGGGTCGACGCGGCCGAGCACACCGAGAGAAAAAAACAGAGAAAAAGAGAGGGAGAGAAAGAGAGAGAGAGAAAGAGAGAGAGAGAACGAAAGGAGTGTTAGAGAGGGAGAGACAGGGAGAGAGAGAAAGAGAGAGAAAGAGAGAGAAAGAGAGAGAAAGCGAGAGAAAGTGAGAGAAGAAATAGCGCTGCGCCGGTGATTTTTAACGAAGCGACCTATTATTATGCCTAATGTGTCTAGTCATACACGGTGGGAGAAGTGTAAGCGAGAAGCGAACGCAAGATCCATTTTTTGAACGAAGGTTTTTCATATCCGTAGGCGTTTTGTAATCGATTTTCTTTTTTACAGTATTTTGTAAATATTTGTACTTTTTTATCTACACATCGTACTTATGAATCTTTGAAATAGTATGTGCTACGATTAAATAAAGGTGGATAAAATAAAGATTGGACGGTGGAGAGTTTGTTCATTCGCTGGACCACACGATTCCCAGATCCTTGAATCCGTTTAGGTGTAAAGAGATACAGAGGGTTTTAATTTTTAAGAGGATTTTTCGGATAGGTCGAAATCATACGATCGTTGTATTACCTAATCAAATTTATTTTTACTTAATATTTCGTGGTACAGTCTATGTCTATTTATGATATATAAAATAACGTAGTCGTCGAATGTAAAATGGGTGAAAACGAAAGAACGCTCGTAATCGCCGACTGAACAAGCGGCCGGAAAAGAAATCGAGTCAGAGGCAGTCGTACGGTGTGATTATTAAATGCTTTTTATGTATATTTATATTTATAGTATTTATATATGTATACATATGTATATACATACGTATATATACATGCGTGTGTGTGTGTCTCCTGTGCGCGCGTACACGTGTATATACAGGTATATATATATATACATATATATTCTCGTATATGTATAGGAAATCAACGTGTATACGAAGAGAAAAACCGATAAACGCAGTTTTGACGCGGAGAGTATGTTTAGTAATATTTATATTATTTATATATAAAGTCTAATGAATTACTTAATCAGTTACTTATAGTACTTAATTCATTAATATAGTAGCAGCCTCACTCTCTAAATAGTACTAAATATAATAATATGGTATAATGCGGTAATTATCGTTAATATAGATTATTAACATTATAAATAATAATCGTCAGAATCGTATAATAAACAATAGTACAAGGTGTTTTTTGTGATTTTAGTGTTTTTCCATTTTTTCATTAAATGTTATCATATAGTAATAATCACAATAGCGTATTCTGAAAAATAGATCAGGGTCCCGTGGGCAGAGAGCGGAGTACCCCGTTTAT